ATCTTTGAGTTAGCCGTACCTTGACGTAGATCAGCCCAGAGTTTGTTTCAGGGTTCTATCTGTGAGTTATAGCCGTGCCTTGACTTAGATCAGCCCAGAGGTTGTTTCAGGGTTCAATCTTTGAGCTAGCCGTGCCCTGACTTAGATCAGCCCAGAGGTTGTTTCAGGGTTCGATCTGTGAGTTACCCGTGCCCTGACTTAGATCAGCCCAGAGATTGTTTCAAGATTGGATAATATTTTCTGTGTGTTTATATTGTTGGATTGCAAGCATTCCCAAGAGAATTAAGAGACAAAAGCATGGCGGCCATTGTGGTGCCGTTAACGATGGATGCTAATAAGAAATATTTTGTTCAGTGGCACCAACGTTCCCCAGTGGCCGCGATGACAAAACGTGCAATCGAAGTATTTTTGTCGGTATTTTTTGTCAGACTAACTTCCTCATTTGTTTTATATTTTCATATCTTCCAGCTGTCTATCAACCCTCGGCAAGAGGAAAGTCTCCCACTGATAGTAGTCCATCTCAACCTATGATATATAGCTCTCAAATACAACAATTATACTCTCCCACGACGTCAATCTCATCAGTGACTCCAGTCACTCCAAGTACAATACACGAACATAGAGAACAATCGACTGAAAGCTTGTCTAGCGAGAAAGGAAGTTTTGACATCCCGAAGAGCTCTTTTCTCAGAGAATCAATTCGAACGACTTCCAGCTCAACATTGAGTCAGAGCAGTGCAAAGAATGATTATCTTAGCAACGGTGAGGAAGAATGTTCTCGACTACTCGTTGCTAAGGCGGAAAAACTACCACAAGACGAAGAACTAGAAGTGATAAGAATAGATAGACCTTATGCTAGTGCAGGAGCTGAACCTGGTGATATTTCTACGATTAATAAACAAGACACTGATTTATTGATGTCGTTAGCGAAGGTGTCAAACGAGGCAATTGAAAGTCCGTCTTCCAAATCTGAGATTTTCTGGGTTGCATGCTCGGATGACGAGTTAGAAGATTTCGAAGTAAGAACGATTAATTCTTCTGCAAAACCGAGGGAGTTAGAATTTGAAGGACATAACAAGGAAAATTATTTTAAGTTTTCGCTTCAAAATGCAAGATCCGAGGATGAGAAAAAATGTATTCGGGAGAAAATCGAAAAGTTGAGAGAAGTTGCCAAGAATCGAACTCGCGAGGAACGTTTTACTGCGTTGACGAGGCAGAAGGAATTAAAAAGGTGAGAAAGGTTTCATTGTGTCCCCATTTCTCAAATCATACAACAACAAAAAAAAAGAGGATAACGCTTAGCAACAGATAATTTGAAATTGAAGTGTTTTTGTTTTGTTTTGTTTTGCCTTGCTTCCTTGCTTCCCTGCTTCTTTGCTTCCTTCCTTCCTTCCTTCCTTCCTTCCTTCCTTCCTTCCT